AATGAGCACGTTCCTGTTGAACAGTCGAGGCATGTTTATCTGTCGTTTGTCTCAATGATCTTCCGGCTATGCGACTGACCTATGTGTGCAATGACAGTGATGGATAAGAGCATGGTATATTTCTCATTATGTAACTATAGGCTATAAGGGTTGAACGTGCTTGTTCGTTTTCCCTTGCACAAAACGCCGTCGCGAAATCCAGGAAATGGAAGAGATTGTACAAATTGTTCGCCAGATCGGCCAACAGCAAGCACACAATGCTTACTATCGTGACTGCTATGCTCTCTTCAAGCTACTCCAAGACCTGACGGAACACACTTTCAACGAGCTACAAACACTTTACCGATCCGGTACCGGGGACACGAACAATTCCGTGCAACAAGTACTCCGAAATTTCCAGAATACAATCTGCAACCTGGTTGAAAGGGCATGTGAAGCTCAAGCGGCTTGTGAGGAATTGTGTCCCGTGAATGCATCATTTTCAGCGCGTGATATTTTAGAGCCCATCAGAAGGATGTACACAGATCTAGGTCCCTCAACCGAAAGCAGGAAAACCCCTTGTCACACCTGAGCCTACCATCAAAGCCTTTCTCATGGACAAGATTGGCTGTTCTGCTTTAGTGACCTTTCATAGAACCTCCGTGTTTCCATATTTTATTAGGCGACCACAATGTATCATATTTATCTGATAATTCTGTACCATAAAGACCACAAACGACATGGGAGTTCAACAAGTATTCGGCTTAAATTTTGCGAATTAGATATAGCGAGAAAGATTTCCAATTTACGGAATGTGCACTATAGAAGCAAGCAATACAGTACCCCAGTCCACCATCCGCAATTGACTATATAAATAAATCGCAATCTTCTCAGCTGAATGAATATCTGATTCAAGACCCGCAATGCGCTTGCCATTTAGATGCAACAGCAGAAAATTTGAACTAGCCATGTGATTGAACTGGCAATAGAGAACAGCAAGGCCAACCACGTTGTGATAAACATCTTTGCTCCAAAGTTGACTTGGACACCATAGGTCTGCAAGTTATTCTTGACGACGGAAGCGAAAAGACCATACAGCACCATGACCAAGATTGTGGCAGTCGTAATGAGCGTTGATGAAAGCTTGGTTTGTCAGCATCTTTCTATGTTCTCCCGATTATCACATACCGTGCAAAATATGGCAAGTAACTTGCTACCATTGGAAAAGAAAAACTTGCGACCAGCCAAGATTATGGTCAACGTGGTTGCCACAAACCCGGAAATATACAAACGGATCGCACTCAGCGAAAGTTGACGGTAGCCGGAAATCAGACTTTGGTCTATTTCTGGAAGTATGTCGATGACCTTTATTGGCGTAGAGTCAAGCAAGGCAGATAGATCGAAAGAAAAAGATGTGCTGGGGTGGGAGCACACCATCTCCGAGCCATCCTTGGATTTACAGTAGCTCCAGAGGCCAACAAAATAGTATCGAGGCAGATGTGACTTCAAGTCGTG